TGGGGATTTTTCCAGCTTGGGGTTCATGCCCAGAGCCTATGGATGGGCTTTAGAGGTCCGCGAGCCTTTCAAAAATTACTCAACATGTTATGCACGTATGTGCCAGTCTGTCTGGGTGGGATCCACAGCGTCATCCGATGCTCAAAGAAGTCAAAGACTTTGAAATTGTTAGGCATCTCTGATGTACACGGGAAATCAGGGGTTTCATTCACCCAAGCTTCCTTCTCACGTTGGAGGCAAAACTGGAGTTTGTTGGCTCTCGGTCCTGCTCCCTGGGACAGCTGTGGTCTCAGCTTTGCCTTTTCACTGACATTCCAGAACGATTTTCTCTGACCCCAGTCCCCTTGACATACGCTGCCTGGGCTCTCAGCACCCGTGAGCATCCCACATAGGCTCTTAGATTTTGCTTTTCCTGGGCTCCTTATCCTAGCTCTGCCTCCTGAACCCCCATTTCCACCAAGTGGGCCTGTCTGCCCCCATCTCCTCCCAAACCCACCCAGCCCCCTGATGCCACTGGGTATGGCTGTGGTCAATGTGGGCGCCTGCCTGAAGCACGGGGTTGTCCCTTTCCTGTCCCTGGCTTCTCCCAAAGTAGAATGGCTTGATCCCAGTTGGCCTATGATATGGGTCTAGCTGCCCCTAGGCCTGTCAGATCCTTATCTCAACCTCACCACCCAGGGGGACTGCCTTCTGAGTGGCTGCCCAGCGTCCTCCGTGTGTGTGTGTGTCTGCATGTGTGTCTGCACCTACAAATGCCTGCACTATATGCTTGCTGACAGATGTGCACACAGGCACTGCACCCGTGCACTCTCCCCTCTGTCTTATAGAGCCTGTCGGGCCCTGGAGCCCTCCCTGCTTGGAGTTCCAGCCTTTCCATGGGCTCCTACAGTCCCTGGCCTTGCCACTTTCCGGCTTTGTGACTCTGAGCATGTTATTCAACCTCTCTCAGCCTCTGCCTACGACAGGGATGATTACCATCTAAATATTTAAAAACTTCCCACTGTTTGTCAGACACTGTGCTGGGCTCTGGGGGAGATAACCGTGAATGTGACATAGTCCCCACCCTCACTCAACTTACATCCTAGTGAGGCAGGAAGTAAGGAAACAGATAGAAAAGGAGGTTTCTGTTCTGCTAAGTGACGCTTCGCAGATATGCTGCTCGGTGGAGGCATGCGAGAGAGCGCGCGGGGAGGGGGGGGGGTCACAGAGAGCTTCTCTGAGGAGGCAGTGCTGGAGTTGAGCCCTGAGTGACAGAAGAGGCAGTCATTTAAAGATCTAGGGAAAGAGCATTCTAGGCCAAGGGTACAGCTGGTGCAAAGGCCCTGAGGTGGGAATGAGCTCAGGGAGCAGAAAGCAGGCCACGTGGCTGATGGGCTGGGGGTGGGGAGAGGGCAGTGAACCAGTTCAGGCGGGGCCTTTGTAGGCCATGCTGAGGAGACTGAATTCTAATTGAAGGGCAGAGGGAGCTGTTGGACGGTTGTGAGTGAGGGAGCGATGTGATATAATTTGTTTTCACAACTCACTCTAGCTTCCATAGGGAGAAGGGGCGGGGGGCAGGGTTGTCTCAGGAGCAGCTGAGACCCAGAAAGTGTCTGGCTTGACATTTAGGCCTGGCCCAGCCAGAGTTCCACTGTCCTCATGGGTCCCATCTTGGCTGGTGCTGAAAAAAGAGGCTGTTGAGCCCAAGGTCATCCCAAAGGCAGTTGTAAGCGGGAGCCCCGGCTTAGAGCAGGGCTTGTTTCCGGCTGAGAAGATGCAGGGGGTCTAGCTACTGCCAGCCTATCATTTGCAGGCACTCTCCTTGGGATGTGTGACCTATGGCATAGCTGTGCCCGCCTCTCCCCCTCTTCCAGCAGGGCTGGAGTTGGGCAGGGTCACTGCTTTAGGTGGACTTCTGATTGAAGACTTGAGCCCTTGATCCTTTGGGAGTGTCTGACAGGGGGCCTGGGAACTGGGGCTCATCCTGTACCTCCAGCCCAGCCAGGTGCAGAGGGAGACCACTCTTTTTTTTGGTTGGGGGCGGGGGGTGGCGAGGCTACTCTTGAGTTCTAGAAGCAGCCACTCACTGTGTGGTGGACCATAGCGGCCTTTCTCCCTGACCTCTGTGGTGTGTGTTTTCTTCCTTGGATCTCAGCTTTCCCTGCATTCATGACCTTAAGTTTTCCCCCGGGCCCTGGGGAAGGAGAGCAGAGGTGATGCCCCCATTCTGCGGATGGGTCCCCCAGAAGGCACGACGAGTCCCAGGGCACATATTGTTCAGCGTGAGGACTTGGGGCGTTGTGTCACACCTCTGCCCTGAAGCTCCCTGTCTGTACCCCTCCCTTGGGTTCATTAAGAGAGGGAGGGCCTGGCTCCGTTATTTCTGGGCTCAGTCGGCCCTCAGCCCAGGCAGGGACTCTGGGCCCCCCGCCCAGAATGGAGCTCAATGCTGCCCCTTGTCTGCTCACCCCCAGAAGCCGAGGATCGGCCCAGTGCCCGGTGTTGGCAGAACCTCCATCCTGCTCCCAGCTGCAGGAGGACATGGCAGGGCAGGTAAGATTAGAACCAGCCTGAGGCAGCTGCTGGAAGTTGGGGGGCCTCCCAAGAGGTCCTTGCTTTCAGATCTCAGGCTTCCCTGGGAGCTCAGGGCGAGCCCTGACCAAAGCGAAGGCACCCGCCCTGCCAGACTCAGCCTCCATGCGTGGGTGTGGGAGCTTGAGGCACCCCGATGGGATGGGGTGAAGCCCTGTGCCCCAGATCCAGTGCTCATCCAGGCCCCTGGGCTGGAAAGCAGGCCAGAGGACTAGTACCCAGGCAGCAGGCCAGAGGCCCCACTCTCCCTCCTCTGTCCTTTCTCAGTGCTCCCCCACCCCCGGGAGTCTAGCTGAGGAGATGACCTGTTCTCTCCCTCTTCTGAGCACACAACCCATGGGAACAGAGTGAAACAGCAACTGAAGCAGCAGGGATTTAGGGCAAACCAGAAAGAATCCCTCACTCAGGGCCCAGCCCTTTGGGGTCCCCCGGGGTCCAGATATCCTAGAGCCTGGTGCTGCAGACTTAAAAAAAAAATCTGATAGTTTTTTAAAAAGTAAAATCTCTTCTCACACAAGCTTCAAAACTCTAGGGGGCTAGCACTCAGGGGGGTGGGTGGGCTGGGGCCCCAAACCCCTATCATGCCCCCTTCTCTTTCACTTCATGTTTGACAACCAAGGTTAAATGAATCTTAAAAAATGTATTTATTTATTTGTTTATTTATTTATTTATGTTAAAGAGAGAGAGGAAAGGAGAGGGAGAGAGAGAGAAACCTGGATGTGAGAGTGAAACACCGATTGCCTGCCTCCTGCACACCCCTTACTGAGGGTCAAGCCCGTAACCTGGGCATGTGCCCTGACCAGGAATTGAACCGGAAACCGTTCTGTGTACCGGATGACGCCCCGCCATCTTAGCCACACCGCCAGGCGAAATGACTCTTCGGTGGTCCTGTGGTGTCAGAGATCCCCCAAGGGCCCAGAAGCCCCTAGAGAAGTAGCTCACTTTCCTCTCCAGGCTCATGTTCTCTACGTGGGAAGTTCCTCCCACTCTACCAGTTCCCTGTAGATTCTGGTTCAGGAGGTCTGGGGGGAGGGCCTCATCATATGTCATTTAAGTCCCTCAGGTGACACTTATGACCAGACAAGCTCAGGCGGCATGGGTCTCACTTAAATCTCTGTGGCTGTACCTGCAGCTTGCTCTGCTGCAGCCCAGGAGGCTGGCCAGCCCCTCTCCTCCCCCAGCCTCTCCTGAGCCCCCCGAGCCCCTTCTCCAGGGAGCAGGAAGTGCTGGGGGACACCGAGGCCTGAAGAAGAGAGGCAGGAAGCTGTTTGGAGAGGGTGCTCTGTGTCCCTGGTGGCAGAGGTCATGGGGGGCGGGGGGAGGGGATGGTGGAAAAAGTAGCCTAGACTGAGTGGGGCTGGGCCAGAGAGGGATGAGGGGAGAGTCAGAACACAGCCCATCACATCTGGGCAGGAAGCCTCTGGGAACTGTGGGCTGGTTCTGACCCATTTTCGAAGGGGGCAGTGGAAATGGCAGGTAAAACGGGTCTCCTCATTTTAAAGAGGAGAAACAGGCCCAGAGCAGGGCAGAGGGGATGGGTCTGGCCTGGGTGGGGCAGTGAGGAGTCCAAGCCTGGACCCGCGAGAGGTCACAGTGAGTTGGGCAGAGCAGGGCTTTCCCCTTGCAGCCTCCTCACGAGTTCCTCCTCCTGGCTGGTGAACTCTGAAGGCCCAGGTGTGGAGGGGAACCCCAGGCCCCCCCATTCTTCCCACAGCCAGAGCTTTGGGCACTGGGCAGCAAAGGCAGCTACACTCTCAGGGAGGCTCTGGGGTGGCCCTGCACCTGCCCAGCACCCTGGACAGCGCCTCACGCTGGGCCTGGATGGCTCACTTTGGCTTCTGAGGGGCTTCTGTTGTGATAGAGCTGCACTTCTGTCGACTTCCTTGCCTCCTCTCCTAACTCCCCCTCTAAAGGCAGCCCCCTTCCCAGCTCCTTCCATTCACCACAGAGTCAGTGTTGTCTGGCTCCCACAGCCAGGGTGAGAGAACATGCAGAGAGGCAAGGAGGCTGGTGCTGTCAGCCTGTGGTTTTGTCTCCAACGCTCACTAGCGGGAGAGGAAGGGGGCTTGGAGGAGGAGTCCTGAACCCCCTCAACCTCTCTTCCTCAACGGGCTTTGGTGAATTCTGAGGGCACAACAGGGAAGGAAGGACTGGGGCACATAGACTGGTAGGGGGTCGGGGAGAGGAGAGTGGGGCTGGTTTGAACAGGGCATTGAAGACACCACAGCCTGGACCCAGACACTAGTCAGGAGATCCTGAGAAGGTCATCTCGGCCATCCTTCTGCCCCCAAGCAGGCTGCCTGGTGCTGGTTCCGCTGGGCTTTAGACCCCCAACACTTGCCTTGTCTGACCCAGCCCTTCATCTCCATCTGCCGGCAGATCTAACGGAGTCCCAGGAGCAGCCAGCTCAGGGTAGAGCAGTGCCTGCCATGGATGAGGATAAGCTCCCATCTGTACTGCCTGGGGAAGATGGTGCCACCCGGGACCCCAGCCTGGAGCCTGCGGAGGAGCCCCCAGTCCAGAATGGAATGACGGCCAGCGAGGACCTGAATAGTAGCCACAACAGCCCAGGACGTGAGATGAGGGGCACCCTGGTGGACACTGAGGAGCCCACAAAGGGCCCGGACATGGCCCTCCATGGCCTCAGCCTTGGCCTCTCCCTCACCAATGGTCTAGTCCTGGGGCCAGACTCGAACATTCTTGATGATTCTACGGGGTCCAGGCCCTGGAGGGCGGGTGGGCTAGCAGAAGGCGAAGATGCCTCTCGGAGCTTTTGTCCAGACACTGAGGACCTTCAATCAGGGTAAGTCCGTGTCTCAGAATAGGGGCTCACCACACTTGGCTGCTCTATGCTATTGGCCTGGGACTAGCCACTAGCCTATCTGGTTCTTGTTTTTCTCATCCATGAAATGGGAATGTCATGTCTCAATTTTGCTCAGCTTCTGGTTATTTGGGGAAAATAGAGCCATGAGATTCCGAAGGCCTTCAGGCCCATCATCAGTCCCCCAAGCTATCACGGGCTATTTCTGGGAGGGGCTGGAGGGCCATACTCCCTCCATCCCAGGCTGGACAGTAGAGTTTGTTCCAAAATGTCTTGATGTGGAAGGTCATCTGGTCCATCCCTCCACTTTCTGGAGTTGAGGATCTGGAGTTGCAGCTGACCTGAAGAGAGTAGGCTTTGTGGGTTAATCCCTGTCAGCTACCCCTGACCCAAGAGCCATCTGGAATCTTACTTCAGTCTTACTCATTGGAGTTACAGCACCTCTTTATTGTATTAAAGTATGTTAGAAGGAAGTAAGTGCTTTGGGGGAAAAATGAAGGGTGTTTGGGGCAGGTCCCAGTTATAAATGGTGGTCAGGGCAGACTTGGTTGAGAAAGGAAGGAGGAAGGAGGCTTTGGCCCGAGGGAGGAGCAGTCTGGGCAGAGGGAGCGGCCAGCACGAAGGCTTCCTCTGGGGCCGCACAGGGCCCGGCGAGGGCTTGGGCAGGTGGTGGGCCATGGGCTACAAGCATCTGCTCACTCACCCAGTGTATCGTGCAGTAAGGTTTGCTGAGTGCCTACTGTGTGCTTGCTGCTTCTGGCCTTGTGTGTAGGGAGTTGGGTGGGGCTGGGGCACAGACGGTAAACAGGGGAGCAACCAGAATACTACATCCTGATAGAGGCTGGGAGGGCATGAAGAGCTACCCTGAGGATGGAGATAATGGGAGGGGGGCTGGCGTAGTCGGTGGTGTGGGCCCGCCTCCCTCAGCCTCTCTGAGGAGGTGGCATTAAGCAAAGCCCGAGAGCTGGAATGTGGTCAACCAAGTTAACCTTCCAGGCTAGCAGGACAGCAACATTATGAACCACCGTGACTCTCGCTGTGATAGGGGAGCAGCCCTGTGGGCCAGGCTGGAGGACGAGGACTCACAGTCATTTACCGATGCCTGCGATGGGCCAGGCATGGGTGGGGCACTGGGGGGTGGGCCGTGCCTGTCCTTTTCACTGCTCTACCCCAGTAACCAGCCAGCATCTGGCAGTATCAGCTGAGAAAATAAACAGGGCACAATCCATGCCCACTCCCCACCTGCAGGGAGCTACCAGGCACAGATGGGTGTAGTCCCGGCACCTGTACTGGGGCACCCTGGCAGGATGCTGACCGGTCCTTGCATCCTGCAGGCTGGGTGGCCCTGGAGAGCCAGATGTCCGGGACGGCTTCAGTGCCACGTTTGAGAAGATTGTGGAGTCGGAACTGCTACGGGGCACCCAGTACAGCAGCCTCGACTCCCTAGACGTGCTGAGCCTCACGGACGAGAGCGACAGCTGTGTCAGCTTTGAGGCTCCCCTTACACCCCTCATCCAGCAGCGGGCCCGTGACAGCCCTGAGCCAGGGAGTTCTGTGGGCCTTGGGGACATGGGGCCCGCAGGGGACACGGGAGCAGCCGGCGGTGAGGGGGAGCTGGGCAGCCCCCTGCGGCGTTCCATCTCCAGCAGCCGCTCAGAGAATGTCCTGAGCTGCCTGTCTCTCACGGCCGTGCCCAATGGCTTCCATGAAGATGGACTCCAGGGCCCAGGCGGGGATGAGGAGGAGGAAGAGGAGGAGGACACGGACAAGCTGCTGAACTCGGCCAGGTGAGGCAGGGTCCAGACTGGGAGCAGATGGGGAAACAGACCCAGAGCGGGTAAAGCAAGTGAGGGCAACTCAGTGCCCAGAGTGAACAGCCCTCACCAAGGTCATCGTGCCCTTCCTCTGCACCCCGACTTCCCACCCCAGTCCTGTGGCTCCATTCTGCCCTTCCAGGCCTGTCTGCCCGGTGGGGCCAGGGAGCTATGCTGTGGGTTCGTGGAGCATCTAATATCACCGGGGGCTCTCCCAGGAGTCTGACCTGACCCCTCCTGGTGCAGGGGAGCTTGCCCAACTCTGGCCCCTGTGGGGCTGTTCAGAGGCCTGGGGACACCTTCTAGGCCTCCCCAGGGCCCCTGACGCAGGGCCTCTGAGCCCCTCCTCTTCTCCCCACCCCCCCTCTGCAGTGACCCCAGCCTCAAGGATGGCCTGTCCGACTCGGACTCAGAGCTGAGCAGCTCGGAGGGGCTGGAGCCTGGCAGCACAGATGCGCTGGCCAACGGGTGCCAGGGGGTCAGCGAAGCTGCTCGGCGGCTGGCTCGCCGCCTCTACCACCTCGAGGGCTTCCAGCGCTGTGACGTCGCCCGGCAGCTGGGCAAGAAGTGAGTTTTGTCTCCCACCCCAGGCACACCCGGTGTCTCCCCCAGCCCGAAAGGGGTGTCGGTGACTTCTGTTAGGGGTGCCTGGTGCTTGGGTGGCTCCAACAGTCCCACAACCCTCCTCCTGCCACTGTCCTCATTTCTGGACTTGCCCTACATCTGTTTCCTTTCTGGGCTGCCTAGGTGACGGCCCACACTCCCAGGGAGGGGAGATGGAGGCAGAGCAGCCCCTCGGGGCCGGGGGAGTGGGATGTGTCCTGCGGTTATGGGGCCACCATGGATGGTAGTGAGGACAGAACAGCTGGGTGAGGGCGAGTGGCCCACCTAAGGGGGCAGGGAGAGGCGGCTCTGGGCCGGGGCTGCCCAGTAGCTGGGGGAGGGTTTCTGGTCCTCATGAAGCCCCACTCACTGTATTGGAACTGGCTCAACGGGCCGAAGCCACCGAGACGCGCCCTGGCCTGGGGACTGGGGAAAGGAACTAGGCACGTGAGAGTCCCAAAGGGGCTGGGGGACAGGCGGGGACTGTGAGGCTGAGCACAACGCCTGCACGTCCTGAGCACGTCTGACCATCACACGCCCCCCTGCCTTTCCCCTCCTCCGGGGGCCTCCCAGCACCTCCTCCAGGCTCCGAGGGAGCAGAAGCAGCCTGGCTCACAGGCTAACGGGGACAGTTCAGACCCCAGGCCCCCACGTGTGAACTAACTGGGGCTCAGGCCACAGGGGGGCGCTAAGGTTGGTTCTGCTCCTGGATCCTTCTCTTCTCCCTCCATCCAGCTCCTTCCACCTTCCACAGCCTCCACATGGCTCCGCCCTTGTCCTCCCCGCCCCAGCTCAGAAATCACAGCTACTAGCCCCACTCCTGCTGGGCTGTGGCCCTGCCAACCTAAGGACACCCTTCAGAAGCCTTCATTCTGGTTGGTCCTCATCCTCCCTTTATAAGAGTTTTTCCATAAGCGTGTAATTGTGCTCCAGTCTTTTCCAACTGAAAATAAAAATCCTTCCTCAATGGATCTTCTTCCCCCTGCCTCTTTTTAAAAATTTTATTATTTTTTAAAAATATTTTTATTAATTTCAGAGAGGGAGAGAGAGAAACACCAACGATGAGAGAGAATCATTGATCGGCTGCCTCCTGCATGCCCCCCACTGGGGATTGAGCCCCAAACCTGGGCATGTGCCCTTGGCTAGATTGAACCTGGGACCCTTCAGTCCACAGGCTGATGCTCTATCCACTGAGCCAAACCGAATAGGGCACCCCCTGCCTCTTTGTAGCTAAAATTCTTGGGACTTTGTGCCCTGGGTGGCCTCTGTCCGCTCCCCCTTTCTTTCTCTTTCTCTCTTTTTTTTAAAAAAAATATTTTATTGATTTCAGAGAGGAAAGGAGAGGGAGAGAGAGATGGAAACATCAATGATGAGAGAGAATCATTGATTGGCTACCTCCTGCACGCCCCACACTGGGGATCGAGCCCACAACCCAGGCATATGCCCTGACCGGAATTGAACCGTGACCTCCTGGATCACAGTCCACACTCATTTCCACATTCAGCCCTCGGGCTGGCTTCTTCCTCACCCTCTCTCTTCAGAAGCCCTTCCTGCCAGGGTCAGTAGCAGCCTGTGTCTTGAATCCAGTGGCCCCTGCCAGCCCTCACCTTCAACTGTGTTGACACACTGGCCACGCCTTCTCTAATTAAACTTTTTATTATGAAAGTTTTAAACATACAGAAAAGCAGAGAAAATACATTAAACTTCTATGTACTATTTACTCAGCTTCAAAGGTATCAACGTTTTTAAATTTTTGTTTCCTCTAGCACCCCCCCCCCCCCCCCCCACCGCCGCCAACACTCCCACCATTTGCTGGAATTTTTTAAAGCTTATTTTGGTCACTCTATCATTCTTTCCATAAATACTTTGGTATGTGTCTCTAGCTGATAAGGATTTTTTTTTTTTTTACACAATCTTAATTCCATTATAAATTCTAAGAAAATTAACAAAAATGTCTTAATTATCTCTAACATTCAGTCTATGTTTCATTTTCTCTGATTGTCTCAAAAAAGTAGCCGAACCGGTTTGGCTCAGTGGATAGAGCGTCGGCCTGCGGACTGGAGGGTCCCGGGTTCGATTCCGGTCAAGGGCATGTATCTTGGTTGCG